CGATGGTGGGAGGTGAGCGGCGGGGCGGGCGGGCCGCCTCGGGGTCCCTGGCAGTGCGGGAATTTCGGACGGGGCGGAAGGAGCCGCGGCTGGGCCTGGCACGGAGGAGGTATTTGAAGCCGGCATCTGCTCTTGGAGTGTAGTGTTTGTCGGGGTTTTTTTGCGAGGCGAGTTTTGGGGCGCTGTTTCGCCTCCCCTTCGGCCTGCTGTGAGTCCGCGTTGCGGCCGGGTTTTCCCGCTTCCCGCGCTAAGTGGGCTGGTGATAACACCGCGGCCCGCTCGGGCCCTGTTCCTCCGTCTTCTCTGCTGCGGGAGTAGGAGAGGCACCTTCCCTGCCCCCCGTCCCAGCCCGTGGCGCCGGCGGCATCTCCCTGGACTGGCAGGGAGGGAGAGAATGGGGGCAGGTGGGTAAGAGCTGCTTCGGTTTCAGCCATGGGGTCTGCTGCACCCTCCCTTCCCCTGCCTTCATGGGCTGTTGGCTCTAAAGCTCCCTTTGGAGGCAGCGGCCTAAGTTGCTTTTCTTCGTGGTTGCTTTTCTTTAGTGCTAAGGGGAGGTGGAGTAAAAGCTATACTCGGTGCCATTTAGAGGTTTGTCCCCTTTAGGAATATCCTCGTGTGGCTAACAAAATACCATCTAGGCTGGGAGGCGTTCCTGAGTTTTGCTTTAAATAAAACTTTTTTTTTTTTAAGAAATACAGACCTATAAATCACAAATAAAAATCTGTAATTTTAGGATCAGAACAGACCTGTTGTGTAAGAACTGCACTAAACTGGTTTCTTTCTGAGAGGTTTCCCTTCACTTCCTATTTCTCCCCATTTGCCTTCCTTGTTTAAGACTTAGTTGCAGACAGGGCGAGCCCTGTTGATTTCTTTGGATTTCAATTTGTGTTAACGCTTTTATTAATTCATAGGGAATCTATGGGCCCTTTTTATCATTATCAAAAGTATAAAAGCTGTTGTGAAGCTTTCCGTAGCTATTATTGTGTCTAAAGACTTGTGCCTTTCTCTGTCCACTTCATTCTTGGGGATAATACCCAAATGAGGTGGGATTCTTAATGAATTTCAGAGCTGTTGATTTTTTATATAGTATGCAAACTATGAAAAAGTTGAGTGTCCCACTCACGTGCATAGGTACTTGCTGGTGGTTTGGTTTGTGAGGTAATTTGGAGTGACAGATGATTTGGTACTTTATAAAGTTTGGTGTGTTCTTTATTGCAATAACTATCTGAGTGATGCTCAGGATTTTCAAGGGAACCTTAAGTAGTGTTCAAAAGAAGAAAATGTATTATTGAGAAGACAATTTAAAATTAGTTAACAACGCAGCAGTTCCTCTTGTAAATGTTTCCTATCTCTGAACAAACTGCGTTCTTTTAAAAAAAAAAAAAAAAAAACAAAAACGTGTTTGGTTTGCCCACTATAGTGCTATTGTGATGAAATGCTTCTTATTAATTGTTGTCGTCCAATGTACATTTATTTATTCATTTTCTCTAAGAAAAGGTGTTTCTTAGAGAAAGAACTCTAGCGCCTCTTCTTCCAGGAGTACCATTATTTGTCAGATGTCTTAATTGCCAGGAAATGAGATTATAGTTCTACTCAAAATGCAACACTGATAGACCAGTCACAGACTGTCCTATTTATGCAAGAAAGTCTTTGTTTACTATCTACCTTGCTTGGTATTACAAGTCACTGATACTTCAGGTACTTTTTTTGGTGATCCCTCTTAAGAAACAGTTCTAGATTATTCAGAAGTCTTAAAGTGTCCTGTTCTTTCTCTCCCACTCCTTGAGCAACAGCTTGGTTTTGGTTTTTGTTTGTCTTTATTTTCTTTATTGTAAGCAGACTTAGATGTCTTGCTGTGACTGATGAACAATACTAATGACACACAGATTTCAGGTCATGCTGGGTCTACCTATTCATGAAGAGGAGCACAGGTCACCAGGAAGCCTTCTCTGTGTTGAGAATGAAAATAGGTCCTGCTGATAGAAACAACCAGAAAAGTGAGAATTTCCAGAGAATAAAAGAGGTGAATCAGGAAGAAACCTGCCACACTACAGAAATACTTTATTAAAAATAAATTTGATTTATATTAATTTTGGAGTTTATTGAGAATGAATGCAAACAAAAATTGAGAAGTGGCTATTCATATTTATTCTAAGAGTTCAAGTATCGCTAGAGTAGCAACCATTGCAGACATTTGTAAAGATAACGCCACTAATAGCACTACTGATACAAAATTGTCTGCATATCTCAAGTACAGTGTATTCAGTTTCTTCCAAGATGTTTTATTAGGGAGAAGCAGGAAAAATAGCCTTTGTAGTACCAAGAGGCTTTTGGAGAGAGTTTAGACAAATAGACTTCTGTTATTCATACATGTTAGTAGCAAAATCTTTGTTTTGAGTATATTGTAGCCACATAAAATGCTGCTGTTTACAATCATACACCTTGAAAATAGTTCTTGTCAGATACCTTAGCTAAGTAGGGTCAGGTCTGTTTGATACTTGAATGATAGTACAGTACTTGACATCTATGGCACTCTGTTTCCAAGGACTTCAGCATGGTTGCAGGCACTAATGAATCAAACTTCACAATACCAGTGGGATAGAAAATATTTCCATTTACTGATGGGGTGAGGTAATTGAGATGCAGGACAGTTAAAGGTGATTTTTTTTTTTTGGGGTGTGTGTGTAAATTTTTAAAGGTGATTTTAGGGAGAAGTATGCAACTTTATTCCAGTTATGCGGTGTACAGTAGGCAGTTCCATATAGTGTTTGCTGGTTCATAAATTTCCTGACAAACCTCTCACATTTGCTGTTTCATGAGTTGAAAAGCACATAGAATGATAGAATTCACACTAAAATGTCATTATCTTTTTTCATTATTTTGTCTTTTTTTTTTTTTTTTTTTCCCTATTTTCATGTAGAAAATTTTTGCAGTCTCCAGGTGGTTTTAGTTTCAATCTGTAGAAGATCTCTGAATGAATTTATCCAAATAAATGTGAAAGCATGTGCAGCCATTGCTTAAATATTTCCATGGGTAACAGCTTTTTTGCAAAAGAGTGAGTGCTTAGTATTGTGAATGCTGCCCATTGAAAGCGATCAGTGTTTGGCACCTATGGCCTACTGATAGTTTGACCAACTTGTAAGTAGGCACAGTGCCATCTTAGCAGATGGATATGAATATAGACAGCCAAGAAACCATGTATGTGTATCTAGTGTATTTGTTAAGGGCAGGGTTCCCAGCTGGGGACGTTCAAACTTATGTCCGTTTTGAATTTTTGCTTTTATGGATAAAGGGAAGTTGTTATTAATATACTTTTTTTTTTAAACTAAATACCTTCAGGCATACAGTTATTGACCACGTTAAAAAAAAAAAAAAAAAAGGAAAAAAAGAGGGAAACCCCAGCTCCTTCTTTGATACTCTTGAGCTATTTTAAGTAAACTTAATTCCTTTTTAAGCAAGGCTACTATTGAGATTCACTGTGAATGTCAAAAATATAAAGTGTATCAATAGTTTTATTTCACTGGCTTGCTAGCTTTACTGAAAAAGGGGCTACAAATTTTTTCACTTACTGGTCAGTAATGTGTCCAGCATTCAAGCACCTAAGTGCATCTGTCCAAGTCTTGCTGGAATTATTTGTAATGACACAGAGGTCAAAGGATACAGTCCTTCAAGTCCTCTTCATGTCTCTTATATTGTTCTTGAGGACAGTATGCTCATTTTGTGTATATTTTTGTATCCTTTAGATGACAATGAGTGTGATCTTGTCCCACATCTGAGTCATTAGGTACCAACAGTGCTGATTTTTGTACTTTCCTTTACTCCTTATTTGAGTCAGTCTTGGGGCTTCAGACTTCTGGTTTATTTTCTGATCACAACTTCTACTGGTTTCAGTGTGTCCTTTGTTTTAATCCTTTTCCTGATCTGGGTGTCCTGAGAAGCTGCTTAAAGGCCTGCCGTGATCATTTTGGCCTGCAAGTGTAAGACATCAACATGTAATCATTCCTACCACTCTCTGTTCCTTCTGAGGAACTTTGACAGCATTATGTTCTCATTGTTATGGTCTTAGCCGAGCTAGCTGGAATTTCGTTTGGTTCTTGAAAGTCTAATTTTTCTCCTGTAGAAAATCTGGAGGAAGAACCTTCCCCTAAGACAGTACAATATATATCATAATGAAGATTAAAAAAATAAAAAAAAGAAAAAAGATGAGGTATAGAGAGAGGAGATTCTTGAAGGGTATGGATAAAACTGTGGGGAAAGTTAGTCTTAAAATTTAACTGTAAAATGTCAGAACTGCATCTTGATTATAGAGAAGAATGTTACTGTATAGAACTGGAAATATCCTGGTTTGTGATAATGAGGAAGCTTGTTCAGTATAGGCATTGATAAATACCAGTTTCTTCTGGTGATGTGGATATTTCATACTACTGTGTTGTTGAAGTTACTTTTTTAACCACAGTAGGTATTCAGATGTGGTTCTATGACACAGAGCTACTTTTCAGATTAATAAGGACCCGAAAAAGCAGAACTTTTCTTTGTCATGGAATCATACTCCTTCTCTTCTGCGTTTATTCCTATACTGAATGACTGTGGTGTCAGCACGCTGCTTGCTGACAGAGTCTAGTACTCTCTGACCAGATCCTTTTAGATCTTCTATGTGTGGAGGGCATGATATTTAATATCAGATTTACTTGTTTGAAGATAGTTGATACTATATGGGATTTCTGATTTAGGAGAGTGATACAAAATATACTTAAAACAATACAACTGTAAATTATACTTGGCAAAATACAGCAATTGCAATACACAGTACCGATGTGATTCCCAGTACCGATCTCTGTAATATGCGCCCTGTCACTATGTAGCATCTCCAGCCCCCGGGAAGGAATACCTGGGTTGAAACCAGCTTAAGCCCGTTGGTCTCTTCGAAATTCTTTGCTAGTTTAGTTTTTATACTCTTTATGTTGGGCTGAGCCTCGCAACTCTGGCCTGGCTAACTCGGGGAGACATTTACACCATCATTTTATCCAATCCACTCAGCTGTTGTTTAGCTGATCACTTAAAACAAAGGCCACCCACTGGTCCTTTTTGTGTTGAGCTAAAGTGAGCTCCTTTGCATTCTCTCCAGTGCTCCTTGGGCACTTCACCCTTGCCCGTCTCCTGTTCATCCATTGCTGAGTTTTACTCGGTCACATTCCACCCTTGGGGTTTTGGTCAGCCATAACTGCAGACTCGAGTATTAGTGGACAGAAGAACATTTTCAGGAAACTTGACAGTTATAGGATTTATTAAGTAGAGAAATGGGTACGAACTGCTCTATTCAGATGTTAGTTGGCTGACAGACATATCTGGGGAAGAAAATTTCCCGAAGATACCACCCAGTCAGAAAAGAGGCTTGTAGAAGGGGAAATGCTTTTGGAACAGCTGTCATAGTTAAGTGGTTTTCTATTTGGAAAACTAAAACCAGAGTCCTAGAGGAACATTAGAACTGAAAGAGGAAAACTGATGTTGAGTAACTGCATTTGGCTTAGAGTTACTGTATTGAGTGGCTAGACTAATGGGAAAAAGATACTTTGCTATCCAGAAACTTCCTTGCTTTTGTATTAATATTCCTTCCTACTTCCGCAAGCAAAATAATAATAAAACCCCACCAGTCAGAATGGTATGTTTTAGAAAATAACTGTGGCTCTGTTTGTATGATTTTTATGTTCATAAGTTAGAGGGAAAGATCAGTTCTTTGTAAAGCAGATCGTGAAGGCCTTTCCTGTAAAGAGGTCTAGTGCACTCTGCTATATATCGTGGCTACATATTCAGCACGATGTTTTACTGAACCAAAATCTGGCTCTGCTAAAAACTTAAAACATTTATTCACTCAAAATGAGGCCTATTCTGGAGAAAGATGCATGTGTTTTGTACCCGTGGGCCATTATGTTATTTCTGGAATACTGATGATCTGAGACCTGAGGTTGGGAGAAGGCAACAGTAATATGTTTACATTTGTGATCTCAGAATGGGTAGTTATGTACTAGTTTGTTGACAATCTACTAAATACTGCCCTGTGAACAGTAAGCAGACTTTCATTTTTCTTGCTTGCAGTGATATAGGAGAAAAAATAATTGTTTGAATGGTTTAATTTTTTGGTGTGTGGTTTTGGTGGTTTTTTTTTTTGTTTGTTTGGTTTTTTTCTTTTACAAATAAGAGGAGTTCCTCATATTACTGAAGACTTGGAATGTATGATGCTCTTTCAATATGCACTTTTCGCTCTAAAAAAACTGATGAACTTTATTTCATTAGGTTTTTTTTTTCTAAGTTTAGACTTAAAATTGGTTGTGCTTGATTGAGTATGAGTATGATTCTGAGATTTTTTTTTTTTTCTAGCATGTATTATACAAGGTCTTCTGATAGTTTTTTCTTGTGAAGATTTTTGTTGTAAAATTTTTTTGATGCCTGGAAAAATTAGTTGTTTTTCACTTAGAATTCATGCCGATGAAACTACTTACTGTATTTCTCTTAGCATACCTTTGTAGTAGCAAATTAAATCTTAAACAATTCATGCTTTTTCATGTTTCTAGCAGATTTTTACATAAAGTAGGTCTGGTCAGTATGTAACATCTGCACTTTTTCTATTTTTCCTTTTCTTTCCTCCTCTCTGTCCAGGGAAAATGCCATATAATAAGAAGACTGCTGAAAAAAGAGCCCCTGCAAAAAGGAAACTTGCTGAAGTGTTTTCTCCAGGGGAGGTTCTAGCAGATACATCAAGAAAAGAGTGGAAATTAGGTGTCCCTATAGGGCAGGGAGGGTTTGGACGCCTTTACCTTGGTAAGTGTAGTTATTTTTGATAATGCTTTAAAATGGAGAGATGTTTATTCTTATTCAAAGCAATGAAAAATTGACCCTAAGTTAGAAATGCAGAGTGATCTTTTTTACTAGAACCTGTTGTTGGAAAACAATGACAAGAGTGGACAGATGGTCATTGTGAGAACTGAGGTTGTATGAGATTCCAGTAGTAGTTCATTCTTTAAAATCTTTATTACTTTTTAGCAGTGAAAGGATAGTTTAGTATTTATTTAAATTTGATTTTTGGTCTGTCTGAAAGAAGGGATTTTTGCTTGAGTGTCCTTATATCACAAATTCTGAACTGAAACTGTCTAAGCATATTCTGTGGAGTCTTCTCATTTGATTTTGACTTCGGTGCTGCTTTTGACTTTTTCATTGCCTTGTGAACTTCTGACCTAAGTCATATACTTTTTTTATGTAACCAGTGCTCAGAAAAAATTGAAAAGTTGGACTTCACAGTTTAAAGCATCAGCACAGATCTTGTTTTGCAATGCTGTTTACTGAATTCAAGGAAACCTGTAAAAGTGGATAGTATCCATTCCGTACTTAGTATCTCTGTTATTGGAACAGATGAATGGATTAGACAGGTCTTGAGGATATCTCAAGGAATTAAAAAAGCTTGATTGCCCCTAGTCATTTTCCAAACAGTTTTGAAGGGATGGAAGTTAATGTGCTCATGATAATAAGGTTTTATTTTGCTATATGTTTATGATCTTCCTTCTCTTGGTGAAAAAGTTGCACTAAATTCATACTGAGTTGAAAAAAAAATTAGTAATCTGTCCTGCTTTCAAAATGAACAGACTGCAGCATAAGTGGATTAAGAAGAAAAACAGGACCAGTGGGTGGCTTCTTGCCAAAGAAGCTCTCTACTACTTACTCAGCCTTGCTCAATGAGCTACTAAATTTACTGAGACTGGAGTTCCAGCTCACTCAAATTGTGTAGTACTTTGTGTTAAGAATTCCGGCATTGTTCAAGCCAAAGCTTGCTCACTGTTTGTTTCCCTATCATTTGCACAAAGCTGTGCCCCTGACTGTTCCTGTACTTTGTGCTTGCCTAACTTGGTGTCCTTCTGTCACAAATATCAACAGCTTAGCAGCAACAGAAAGTCACTTTTTGGACATGTGACATGGCAAAAGAGGGAATGTGTTTCTCATCTTTATGGCTGCAACTGTGTATGTTCATCACAGTCCTAGAAAATGAAAGAAATGCTGTTGAGTAGGGAAGAAGTTATTGAATAATAAAAGGCCTTTATTTAGTAAACTGTCATCCTCAAGCAGAAGGGAGAATGCAAGACCATACCATATAGAGTAGTCTTCCCATATAGAGTCATTCTCTTAGCAAAGTCTAAGGTACTGATAGATGTTCATGTCAATACTTAATTGCTTTCTAGTTTGTTTGTCCATGCTGCATAGCAAGTAAGTATATGTTTTGTGACAGTTTCCTCTCCTACTACTAATAAATGTTTCCTTTTTAACAGCTGATGTTAATTCTTCAAAGTCAGTTGGCAGTGATGCACCTTATGTTGCAAAAGTGGTAAGAGAGCATTTGAATCTACTTAACAATTTGAAAACGTTTGTTCTAGAATAGCATGTGTAATTTAAAACATCTTCTGAGTGAAAGTAATACGGTTACATAGTGCTGTTTAAAAGTAAGTGTGGTGATATGGAGGAACACTGCTGAGAATTGGGAGTCCTGTCTGTGAGGGTTGATAATAGAACATCAGTGGAGTTGAAAAAGGTTTGTGGATCAGATTCTGTTTCATTTGCTGCCTCCTGTAAACAGCCCAAATATCACAAAATGAATGAAATCTGGCTAGCTTTTGGAGAATTTCTGTGATTATGCAGTGAGTCTGTGTGAACTGTTGCTCACCGCTGGATGTTGGTAAGCTGACAGATGGCTTGGGAGTAGAAACAGCAAAACTTTGATTCCCGAGGTCCCCACAGATATCAAGTCCTTTATATGTTTTATCATAAAACACATACGTATTCTAATTTCTATTGAATTAAAATGACATTGAAACATAATTTTTTAAACCTAATGATTACAGAGAAGAAGCATTGTTGGTAGCTCATTTTTATCCCATTGTAACAAATCAGCAAATTCTTTTTATTAGTTGAAATTTTCTTAATGTTTTTAATCTTAAAATTAAAGAGATTTAACTTGATTTGGCTATAATGTTCTCTTCTTAAGGTATAAATTAATTTTTCTTAAGGTTTGTTAGGTTATTTTGTATAGATCCTACTACTATGTATGATTCCCTGATACAGTCTTAGTAAAAAACCTGAGGATGTGGGAATACCCGTAGTAGATCCAGACTGTTTATTATCTTGGTGGTACTTCTGGTCCTGTGACAACAGCAAATAACAGAAAACTGTGCAAGAGCTTCACAATGTAAAAAACTAGTTTTTCAGCACAATTCAGAACTGCAGCGTTTTAATCTTTTATTTATTAAGCTATATGGTGATAGTAAAATGCTTTACCACAATATCTGGCCGCTTATGTAAATATGGTAATACTTTTAACATTTGTTCCTGAAACTAAAAGATCAGGTCAATTTAGAATAAAATACATATTCGTTAGTATGTGCCTTTAATCTTGATATTTATATCTGCTGACTACAGGAAATTATAGATTACTGGTGTTGATACTGTTCAGACACCCCAAGATATTGTTGGTGATGACCCTCTTTCTGAAATGTCACTTGCTGAAGAGAGCACTGCTTATGATTCAAATGTCAAACTACCACACTTCCCACATTAGCGTACTGCTGCTGCCTTAGGTGTTTGTGGGCAGGGCACGCAGACCAGCAGCCTCAGCCTGCAGCTCTTGCATGGTGGCAGCCTGCTTTTGTGTGTCCAGCATCTGCCTTGGAGAGTAGGGAGTGTCCCACTGTGCAGGAGCTGTGGCCTGTAGAGGCAGGTAACAGACATTCAGGTCAGCAGCAGTGCCTTGCCTGTGGGAGGCATGGGCTCCTAATGACTGGCTCCTGCTGAGTTTGATCAGGAAGCAGAGTGCCATTTAACTTTCATGGAAGAATCCAGTTTGACTTGCTTGGAAAATCATCAGATAAGCATTATTTTATGCTGTGCATAATTGCTGTCCTCTTTCCCTGAGTTTGAAACCTGTCTACCTGCTGCTCCACTTTGGGCTCTGAATATAGGAAGAGTTGTTGTAACTTTTGGGTTGCTCTTATACTAGATTCACTTTGTTTCAGTAATTTGTAAATACCCCCACTGCTAATCTCCCAGATGACTACTCACTTTTAATTTGTCTTTTACAGTTTTGTCTTTATGGCAATAAAGAGTAGCCCCAGTGTTTGTGCTGCCCTCACAAATGACCCATAACATATTATGCCTCTACAGTCTAGTATAACACAACTACAGATAAGGGCCTATTTTCTGATGCCTGGGTGATTCCTAGTTGATCCATCAGCTGAAGCAAAGTGGTTAACAGCTTTGAACAATTATTAGTGTTTAACAAAATATGTGCTTCTATAGTAATGTTCTTCAAATTAAGCTATTAAAGTGGAGTGGAAATTAGCTTAGTCTTTGACATATCCTCATAGTATTGATGTCTGAGCAGTATGAAATGAGTCGCAGTTTTTATTAAAAGAAATGCTTTTTAACATGTGGACCTTTCAGATGTCATTGTTCAGGAGTGGATGTAGAGTTTAATAACACTTCATTAAACTGCTGACTGAAAAAGACCAGAATTCTTAAAATACCATGTGAAGAAACTTCTTGGGTTTTGACACGTACACAATAATCCCTTTCATTATGATATCTTTTCTAATTAGACTTTAATTTTAGTTTTGTAAATCATATGTTTAGAATGACCCTGGCATAAAGTTGTAGAAATTTGTGTTTGAAGTCTTATAAGATGACTAGCATGGCAAATATTGGACATCATTACATGATACTTTTTAACACAGCGTATGCATTTATTTATCTTTATATAGCATTAATGGTATTATGGGGTAGTAGCTTCATAGTCAACATGAAGATCTGTTTTGTGGTTAAATCATTTATTCATCCCCTCAAGTTTGAAAAGATAAGAGATTTTTAGCAATTGCTCTGACTAGATTAAGATACTTTTTTTCAGCACTGAGACATAATTTTTTGTGGAATAATTTATTTAAAGACAAATCTTTTAAGAATTTTTAATATCTACAGGTTTTTGCTATATTTTAGTAAGAAAATAACATTCTCCAAACCTGTGTGAATTGAATCAAAATGATATGTATAATTTATATTCTAATTTAGAGTATTAATGAATTATGCTACACAGAAAGAAGTGAATAGGTCACTTAACATTTGTCTGAGCTGAAATCTTATACTGCAGCTATTTAACCCTTCTCCTCTGTATATGTAATCTCTATATCACTAATTTGTTTTGATAAATAAACTAACTGAAAGTAGATACGCATGTCCCAGACTTTATGTGCATTGATCAGTTGGTCTAGTTGTGAGGGGTTGTTTGTTTTTTTTCGTCAGATTCATGACTTGAGTCTGATCGTTGGTCCCAGAAGGAGGGGCAGGAAAACTGTTACCTCAGCTTCATTGTTTATCAAGGCAATACTGCTGGAGAAGGTGCAGTGGAGATAGACAGTAGCTTTGTAATCAAGTGTCCAGGCCTAGGAGTGGTGCCTAAGCTGGTATCTGCTCTGGTTCTGACATCTTTTTACTCTGCCTCTGAGCCAGTACATCAGATGCACACTAAAGCCCATGTTCATCAGTGTGTTTGATCTCTGTCTTGTTTCGTTAATGTCGGACGGCAGTAAACCTCTGTTAGCTGAGTGGTAGTCTGGCCTTTAGTAATTTTCTGGATCATTGCATTTGCATTTAAAAGTTAAGAAGCATTTACGAATGATGGTGTATATCTTGGAGCCTTTGTTAATATGATTGTATTTCTGGGTTTCTTTACCAGTAATCTCATACTTTTTTTGTTTAGATTTTTAAGTGTAGGATATTCCATAACAGGTATTTTCACTGAGATAGAATGAATTTGATCATATGTTAGTAACTAGACTAAAATAAATGGTTTAAGCTTATCTCAAAATCAATCACTTAAAAATTGCAAGAGTTGAAATAACTTTTATTTTCTGCACTAAGTACTCTGCACTAAGTTCTGGAAATGTAGAGTCAAGGTTTCTGCCCTTTTGCAGTACTTGCATATTTCAAAGCTTTGGTGTTTTCAAACCAATTTCTCTCTTGCACTTTACTTGTAATGTGTGGTTACCATAGATTTGTCCCTAGAGAATGGAACTTGAAATATTTATGTTAGCTTAAATACAAGGTAGACTGAAGTCAAAATAGGTGTCATTCTTCTAATTTACTTTAAGAGAAATTGTGAAATCCTCTGTAATGTTTACCTTGATCAACTAATGTATGAAGGGAACAAAATATGTTCAGGAAGACTAACTTTTCTTAAAATTTTTCCATCAATTCATTTCAGGTGTTATTTTAGGCTCACTAATGTCTATTTCAGCTGATGAAATCCAGCTTTAATCTGGAAATTTGAGATAATGAATGTTGTTTAATGTTCTCTGGTAAAATTTTGCTGCCACTTATTGGCAATATTTCTATACATTTCAATTAATTTGTTGTTCTTTAATCTCTTGTTATGGGAAAGGATTCTTTGATGCCCTTAATGTTAAGGAATTTATAACAAAAATTTTAGAGCCAACCTTCTCTTATAAAAGGATCGTATTCTATTGACTTTATCAGCATGGTGTAGAGTATTTTTATAGGATGAATGTTACGTTTTGTGAGCTTTTAATAATTATTAGGCATTAACACAGCAGTTTTTAACTAATTTTAAATTGTCTTAAAGGAACCCAGCCAGAATGGACCTCTTTTTACTGAGTTAAAGTTCTACATGCGAGCTGCTAAGCCAGATGAAAGTAAGCAGTCTATTAAAATGTTTTTAATGAACTACAAGCATTTACGAAAACAGAGCCTACAGGAGTAAGGTCAAACTTTTAAGAGAATCTTTAGGTCATTTTCAAAATTGTTTTTAAATGAACGAAATCTATTTCAGACATATAGTAAAATTAGGGTTTTTGGTGTAGGATGCTCTTTATAGTTGTGTTGATGATATTGTCTAAATTGAAACTTTAGTTGAGTATCTATCCCTGCAATGGATCCACCATTAACTTTCCAGTATACTTTGCATGCAGATTTCCATGAAATAAGCAGCTCACATGTATGCAGAAACTCTAAGTGATGCGAGTACTTCCTTCTTACATAAGTCTCTACTGATGCGAATTCATGAACTTACCTTTATTTGTATTTCCAGTTCAGAAGTGGACTAAATCCCATAAACTGAAATATTTAGGTGTACCAAGATACTGGGGTTCTGGCTTGCATGAAAAAAATGGAAACAGGTGAATATATATTTCATTGGCATATACTGGGATTTATTTCATCCACGACCACTATGCCTTTTAACCTAATTTACTTTATAAGATGTGCTTACCACCTATCTTCATGCTGTTCATTTATGCTACGAAGTTTCAAGTTCATAACAGGGTGTGTTTAAGGAATAAATAGATAAATTTTAGTTGCTACTTGTATTTGTGTCTATTGTATTCTTAGTGATTTAGTTTCCATTTGTCTTGAACATAGCTGTAATACAGTGATGCTATATATGTGATTTAGAAGCTTTTCATATGTGAATTAAAATAGAGTTGACTGTTATTATATAAGTCTGAATAATATGACTACCTTTAAAGTTTTTTCTTGTGTGGTGTGCAATTAAAGAGTATTTTCACTCACACATATAAAGGACTTAGTGCTCTCTGTAAATCTATTTTATTTACCCTAGGGATAGCTTTTTTCCTTTATCTGTGAGCTAGAATAATTGCTAGTCTCATGTTAAATTTTTCTTAAGTCTGGAGATAGTTTTTAATATCGTTCCATGTCATAGAGGGTTTTTGTAACTTGGACTTGAATGTTATGCCTATTTATGTAACAGTTCTTGTTTCCTAGTAGGCTTTCTCTATAAAGCTATGCTGCAAAGGACTTCTAGTTCTCTGGCAGCTTATAAGTCAGGCTTTTTTGTGTGCACCACTACATAGGGAAGTTGGTATGTATGCCCTAGTGTGTCAGAAATATCATTGTTTCAGTAGATCCTCAACTTAAAAAAAAAAAAAAAATCTAATGTAAAAAAAGCCTTAATTTTGAGAGGCAAAAGGAAATGTAGCAAAATTATATTTTCCCCAAAATAAACTTTTCTTTCCATTCGGTCTTTAATGTGTGAGATTCTTTATTAAAGCTACTGAGAACTTTTACATTAATAGAACTAGTTTGGCTATAGCAATGAATATTCAGAACACCTTTGGCAAGTGAGAGATTTTTGGGTTTAATAATAGGTTAAAAAAGGTTGTAATAGATTTCAAGAAACTAACTTTTTTAAAGTAACCATGTTAAGTCACTTAGTCATTTATAAAGTAAAAATGTATTTCTGTAAGTAATTGATGCCTGGTTTTATCTATAGTGAATTACAATACAGATATACTTTTTTCTGTGGGTACTTGTTATTGTATTGCATAACTACCCAGGAACAAAAACCAGTTCTTTTGATGGACAGACTTTTGACTAGGTGATATAAAAAAGTTAAGAATTTATGTACATTAAAAAAAAGTCAAGTATTTCCCACATATTTGTGTTCTGTGTACCTGCAGTTTGTCTATTGAGAGATGTTTTCAATCAGTAATTTGTACAAATAACACATAGATAAAATACTTTCCTGAGTACAATTCAGTAATTTTTCTGTTTTGTTTTTTTTTTTTTTTCCTTGAATTCAGTTATCGATTCATGGTAATGGACCGATTTGGCAGTGATCTTCAGAAGATGTATGAAGAGAATGCAAAGCGATTTTCCCATAAAACTGTACTACAATTAGGCCTGAGAATAGTAAGTTTAAAAAAATAGATGATATATTTACAATTTGGCTTCTTTATGTAAGTCTCTCAGTTAAATCAAACTTTTGGGCTGAGTACAGGTCCTCTGCTGGATGGAGTTGGGTACTGCATTTATATGACTATTCTGTTTTATTAGCTTGATATTCTGGAGTACATCCATGAGCATGAATATGTGCATGGAGACATCAAGGCCTCAAACCTTCTTCTGAGTTACAAGAACCCTAATCAGGTATTTCTGATGCATTTTATTCCTCATGTTTGAAACCTTCTATTTGACAACACATGGAAGTGCTTTGAACCAGTGAAATCTAGCAGAAGCTCATTTTTAAAAATGTCTGTGGTAACAGTATTTCTGCTTGTCATTTAATTTATATATAGTTCATATTCTATGATTTTTTTTATGCATTTTGGTGGACAGTTATAAAATTGACTATTTGTCCTAAATAATATTCTAGAGAAATTCTCAAGATTAAAAAAAAGATTCTCAAATAGGCATTTGCAGGTGGAAGCTTAAAATTGTAGCACACTGGTAAATTATGTTTGCCTGTCTGCATTGTTGTCTCGTTCCTTTGTTGAAATCTATCACATAAGTATACTGTTACTTGGAAAAACTGGTCTTTTAAGTGTTGATTGTTCCATCTGATTTACAGAAGTCTTTAATTTTTCTGCATTTTTAACTCTCTTTACCATTCAAACAATGCATATTAGAGTTTCAGAACTATGTATTTCTTCTTGCCTAAATGTTTTAGCTCATGAAATAAGTAAAATAATCTCAGTTCTTTTAATATAGCTGTGGTATTAGTGAGAAGTCATGGTATGTAGTAGTGTTCAAATGGGACAGCTGACTTTGAAGAGGGTAGGACAGTAAGTGGATTTATAGTTCTATGAACATTACCTCTTTTTTCTTTTTTCCATTTATTCATACTGGTAGTAACTTGATGATGTTACTGTACTTGTGCACTGCACCAGCAAGAAACTACTTCCAGATCAGGCTGCTATATGGAAAACAGCAAAACCTGTCTGACACGTTGTTTTAAAATCATACTTAGTAATCTCAATAAAGCACTGAGAAAGGATCATTTAAAGTAAAAAAACCCTCAGGTTTTAATTACATTTATTATTTGCATTTTTTTGTATTTATATTTCTTTAATTTTGGATTTCTTTGTGAAAATTGCTAGGTGTACTTGGTGGATTATGGACTTGCCTACCGATACTGTCCTGAAGGAGCTCACAAAGTCTATAAAGAAGATCCTAAAAGGTGTCATGATGGAACTATTGAATATACCAGTATTGATGCACACAAGGGTGTGGGTAAGGATGTAAAACTTTGTTCTCAGCAATAGGCATTTGTGTATCCTTTTTATAAACTCAAAATACTTTATCTGCTGCACTGAGTTTTGTAAACAACCAGGTTTTTGATTCCATAAAAATAACTCTTTCTTCTCTATGGACCATGCTGGCATTTGTATTTTTTCCGTTAACTAACTTTTTTGTCACTATTAATTTACTGTATTTTTAACATAACTTCATCAAATAGATTTCCTCAATTTATAAAGGCTTTTAAGATGTTTAGTGTATTGCTTTTTATTAACTAAGTAGAAATGGAATAGTGCTTATGAGATCTTGATAGAAAAACAGGCCCTGTTTTCAGGAGATAGTTTGTTATCAACAGAACGTTCTTCCTTCGTATTTTGCAAAGATTCACAACATTCTTTATCTCAGTTATGGCTTAATATTTATGTTATTTTTAAACAAAACTGCATTTAATTCTGAAATACTTCATAATTTTGCCTATAGTCACATGTATCAAGAAGTGAGAAAAGGTTTAATGTGAAAAGGACCAGGTCTGTGACTGATTAAACACTGAGGATTTGTAGTGAACACCAGTTTTTTTCTTCATTCTTAAATTTTATTAGCATAAAAGTGTATCCTGCAAAAACATCAGTTGTTAAAAATGAATATTTACTTCAGGATGAACTGTTGCACCTATGCTTAAATGACTTGATTTGCCTATTTATACTTCTGGTGTAGTCTGTGGTCAATGTACATGTGGATGGTTTTTGGGGGTTTTTAGCAAGGGTTAGGGATCTGATCTGGTATTGTTCTCTGTTCCGTTTTTGGGCCATGTGTAATATTTCAGCATTGTGGAATATTTTTTTCCAGGAGATGGGGTTTTAACACTGTTACCTTCTTATAGAAGAAAGGAAGTAAAAACTGTTTTGAACAGAAAGTCAATCACTTCACTAACTTGCTCTATTTTTTCCACAATCAGAGTACTTAAAATGCTTCACAAATTGGGATAAGTGCAGCATGGCATATCCTTCAGTAGAAGAAAGAGCTTGATAAAGGATTTGAAAATAAAGTTATACTTCCAGATGTAGGAACAATATTTTTTCCTTTCTTGTTTTCGTGTTAAAATAAAGGAATAAGTAATAGATACAGTAGTGCTACATTGTTAGCATTAGCTTTCTATTGTGTTAACATATTTACAAATTTTAACTGTTGTTAAACTATGCATGTTTTATCTGCTGTTGTGGTTCTTTTTTTATGTGTGCATATATATTTAGCACCATCAAGACGTGGTGATCTGGAAATTTTGGGTTACTGTATGATTCATTGGCTTAGTGGCCATCTACCATGGGAGGATAATTTGAAAGATCCAAATTTTGTTAGAGACTCAAAAATCAGGTGAGAAACTGCTTGTTTGCTTTCTATTTTGAAATAGAAAATAGGAATGAATATGTCTTGATGCCTTGTACTTTCAGCATGTGCTCTTTTGGTGAGTAGGCTATTGTTTTGTATACCCCCCTCCCAGTTTCCCTTCATTGTCTCATGTATCCTTGGCTTGTAATTAGACTTGTACTGTTCTACTCTGTCATCTTTTGCATGTGTGAAATGCTTGTTTATCCACTGCAGTACTGTCACTTTAGAATACTGTCATGGGCAAGCCAAAAAGCACTCTTAGCAGAGACAGAACTGAAGCACGGAGTATGAGGAGCCTTTATAACACCATTCTCTGAAGTCGGCAGCAGGGAGGAGAACTAAAGGTGGATCTTAAATGTCTTTGAGTATTGTTCCAGCTAGAGTGCTACTAATGTGGGATTTCTAAATTTTTTTGTCCCTCTTCCTCACTGTTACATTCCTTTTATCTTCCTCCCACTTCCAGTTAACCCTCTCATGTCAGATATTTAATATTGTCGTGGTTTAATCCCATCCAGCAACGAAGCACCATGTAGCTGCTTGCTCATTCTTCCCCTCTCCCAGTGGGACAGGGAGGAGAACTGAACAAAAGTAAAACTCATTGGCTGAGATAAGAAGAGCTTAATAACTAAACTAAAATATAATAATAAAAACAATAAAATATAATAGCAATTACAATAATTAGAAGAAAAAGGAATATAACAAAAAGAGGTAAATAAAACCCAAGACAAGTGATGCACAATGCAGTTGCTCAGCACTCGCTGACTGATGCCCAAGAAACAATTTGCCCCTCCTGGCCCACTCCCCACAGTTTATATACTAAGCATGAAGTTCTATGATACAGGGTATCCCTTTGGCTAGTTAGGGTCAACTGTCCTGGCCATGGTCCCTCCCAGCTTCTTGTACACCTGCTTCCTGACAGAGTATCGGAAACTAAGACAATCCTTAACTTGTTGCTTAGTAGGTCTTATTCTAACTAAAACATCAGTGTGTTATCAACATTGTTCTCACACTAAATCCAAAATACATCACTGTACCAGCTGCTAGGAAGAAAATTAATTATCCCAGCTGAAAACAGGACCAATATGAAGAAAGCTGTCTCAGCATAGTAGTTTCTGTCTCATTAACAAGTATTTGTTACCTGACTTGTAACACTTCGGCCTCCATCACTTAGTGAAGCTCCACCCCTTCACCACAGATATGGTTTTGGCAGGGGATCTCCTCTGAATAATACCAGTTAGAGTCCTCTAGCAGGAAGAGGTGAGAGCATTGGTACATGAGGATTTAAAATGAACTGGTTCTTTTCCTTTAGTCTTCTACTTGCTTGCTTTTATAGGAATCAAAAACTGTTGAAGAAAAATTTACCATATTTCACATAGCCTGTCTGGCATTTGTCATGTTCTTAAATGTAATGCACTCATAAAAATGGCTGTACTAGGTCATACCAAAGGTTTATGTAGTGTTTCCTGTCTGTGACAGTGGCCCAAGCTTGGGTACTTAGGAAATCTGTCAGAATAGACAAATACTCAAACTTTGAAAGAAATAATAGTTGTGAACAATTTGTTTTTTTTCAGATGTAGAGATAATATTTCAGTTTTGATGGACAAATGCTTTCCTGGGAAAAATAAACCAGGTAAGAGGAACTGTTTTAAATTAAAATGCTTGGATTTGGCCTGCTATATTTTTTTACGATTGACTGTTTTCTTCATTGTAATGGATGTGTAAAAGAGTGATGCTGTCATCACTGCGTAATGAATCTTGGTATAATTTTTTTTCTAAAATACGTTGTAGTAAAGTCATAATTATGAGTTTTATAAATAACATTTTAAAAATAGCATAAGTAGTACATGCATAATTTCTGACTTTTGTGGTAAAAATGATTGATTAAAATGTTTACAAATAGAAATTAATTGGAGGTACCATTTCTTCAGATGAAATAACCAAATACATGGAAAAGGTGAAGCTACTGAGCTATGAAGAGAAACCTGTTTATCAGCATTTCCAAGAAATACTTCTTCAAGGTCTTAAGGCCATTGGGCAAAAAGATGATGGAGTACTTGACTTTGGCTTGTTCGAGAATGGAGACTTACAAACAAATCACATGCGAAAGGTCTTTACTCAAATTTATGTCAGCTTTTAATGCTTTTTTTCTCTTTGTGCTAAATAAGAGTTCAAGTATGAAGTACGAGTTCAAGCTGGATGTATGTGTCATAACTGCATCTAGTAGGAAATAAGTAAATAGTGAAATGTTTAAGTCCTACTCTTCCGCATTATTTTTCTAACTTCACTAATTATTATTAAAACTTAATGATGTTTATAGGTGTGCTTTCATAATAGATAATATCTTGGATAACAGAATGTGTGTGTATAGTTGTAATGACATTTGAACAGATGAACATTCGGTTAATTACTTATTTTCCTTAAATTGGTAAAACTCCAGATGGGTCAAAATACATCTAAGGTCAAATAAGTCTAGTTTTTGTTTCATATTAGTTTCCTTTCTGTGACTAGTTCAAAGCTTAGTTTTAACTATACATCTTTATGCCAAGTATTTGGTTCTGAAATTTACATATTGAATTCACTGATCTAATATGTTATTTATGAGTCTGAAGTATAGTGGTAGGCTAGGGTTATTTTATTCCTTGCATTTAAAAAGCGTTTAAGGCTAGATTTGGACTGCCATTTGAATACAGCATAAGAACCTTTTAAGCCTTGGGGAAATTGTGTGTTAAAACATATTTTTAAATAAAAAGTAAAAGTGGTCACATAATGGAACAAGGAATCATAGAATCACAGAATGGTTTGAGCTGAAAGGGACCTTTAAAGGTCATATAGTCCATACCCCCTGCAGTAAGCAGGGACATCTTCAACTAGATCAGGTTGCTCAGAGCCCCATCCAACCTGACCTTGAATGCTGCCAGAGATGGGGCATCTGCCACCTCTCTGGGCAACCTGTTGTACTGTTTCACCACCATCATCATAAAAAAACCTTCTTCTGTATATATATAGTCTAAGTAAGTCTATTCCTCTTTTAGTGTAAAACCTTTAGCCCTTGTCCTATCACTACAGGCCTATTATTATTATCCTGTACTTCAAACTGCATTTATTACTTATTTTCATTTGTCAATAACAGCTGGGCACTTCACTGGTTCCTTTAGCATGAACCAAGGAACTGAGAATTACAGTACAGAATAATGATAGTACAAGAATTTTGCCTGCTTACTGATATGATCAGCACTGTGTTAAAGATGGGCAAAAAAAGCACAAAAGGAAAAAAAGCTGTAGCATTTTAATGTCTTATGAGGATATATGTTCAGCTTTTCTTCTTCTTGCCCAGTAAATAGTACTTTGGCTAAAATCATACAGCCATGGTCTTTATACTATTTTCTGCTGAACTAAGTGTAAAGATCTGCCCAAAAGGGGAGTTCATTAGCATAAATTCTTCTGTTTCCCCTCTGGATCAACATGGCTTGAGACCTGTGGGTTGGGGGTGGGGGGGGGGAATTTTAATGGTTGGCTGGTTTCTTTGCTGAATAAGTTGGCCTGCTGCAGAGCCAACATCTGTGACCTTTAATGTCCTTGACCAATAGAGATAGCTGGTGCACATTTTCAATGGAATAAAATTTCAAAAATCTTACTACTTTAGCCAATATCAGTCAAGATCATTCCCAAAGGGTGTGATAGTACTTTTCTTACTAGCATCAATTAGAAGTTAGCTTTTACATTGGGTTTGTGAGGGGGTGGGGTGTTGTGGGTGGTGTTTTTTTGTTGGTGTTTTTTTTGTTTGGAGAAGGTTTGGGGTTTTTTTTACTTTGAGGAACCATATGCATAGTCAGCTTGCTCAGTTGTCACAAATATGTTCAAGCAGTTACATAAAACAATGAGTGTTACTGGCCCATTTGAATAAGTGTTTTCAGCTGTCTGCTTCATATTGCAGTGGACTTCATGCTAGCTAATCATGCCAGCTACTGCTAGAGTGCCCAGACAGAGTCAGATTGGTTGCCTGAAATAAATTTGACATAGTCTGCTTGCTTTTGACCAAATACCAGGTCTTCCTTCTATGTGGGATTTTCTAGGCTTTGTAACAGCTGTGGGTGTAGGCTAGGGTAGAAGAATAATTGTGTCAGTCCTCCTTCCAAGGGTGTATTTGGCACTTCAAGAATGAATGGAAGGACAGTCTCCAGCAGGATGTCTTCCTTCTCAGAATATACGTTTGGGAACTTGTGCTACTATGTTTTTTTGTCTAGGGAGTATCAGACATTAATGAAAGGCTAGGAGAACAGCAAGACGATCTGTGCTAGTTGAGAATAGCTGGACACTTAGATACACAGAGGAAGAGCATAGGATGCTAATTAAATTTAATGTATTTTCAGCTGTGACAGGAAGCTCAACTTGATGACTGAGTGTTTTAAGATAAGCTCCAGTTTCCAAACTCTGTTAGAAACTGCTTTCCATAAAGATAATTTACCACTGATCAGTAGCATCTTGCCTCTGAAAGCCAGTATCTTCTAGCACATGCTGAATTTCTTTTGGCATGCTTAATGTCTAATTTGGAAAAGAAAAATAGTCTGGCATCCACCCTTGAGAAGATGGTAACCTCTAATGTAGAGTATTTATGACATTTTGGCTGTACTGATCTTTTAATCACAACAAGTTCTAAGACACCTACTCCTCAATTTCGTTGGGGCAATCTACCATAATACTTTCTTAAAACTGTTATTTGGTGTTCTGAAGTTATGCTGTTTCATATCTAAGAGACAATATTTCTAGCTTCTGTGTAAATAAATTCTTAGAATGTAGGATTCTCCTGTGCTTTCAGCTTGTGTAGCTAATGGAGCCATGATGTGCATTATATGTTGCATATAAGCATGCTTGTTCTGGAATCTCAGTCATTCTCTAGTATTAGTATCTGGCTAAAACTCACAGATGTATGCTATATTAAAAATTAACATTTTATTTTCTATATCATGACTCAAGTTTCCCCAGATGTATAAGTAAATGAAATGCAGTCCAGAAATGTGCTGGGGGTTGGGATTTGGTAGTTTGTTTTTTTGGGGTTTTTTGTTGGTGTGTTTTTGTTGTTTTTTTTTTTTTCTGTATAGCAAGTGCACATTTGTGTTTGTGTGTGATATTTTATAATAGTTCTAGGAAAACAAGAAGCTGACAGTACCATGTGTTGAAGGAACTACCTGAGCTCTTGACTAAATTATTTAGGGCAAGGACTGCATCTTTTGTTTAATGCTGAAGAGTTGCTGGGAAATATTGGGAGTAAACTAAACTGTAAAAATATAGGTCTTAGTGATTTGGGGTTCCTTCTAATGTTTCAGATGCACAGGTGTTGCTTTTGTCAGATGAATGCTGTCTGATTTCTAGTGCTATGTAATTCACCTGCATCAAGATTAAGAAACCACTTTTTATTAAATAAGCTTGGAAACAAGATAAATGTATTTTGCTTTTTTTGTGTAGTATGTATTGGATATCTGTTTTTCTGATGAGCATTTAAAATGTTTTCTAGTACAATTGGGAGGAATGCATTATCTCTCATATAAAAGGAGTACAGTGCTGAAATAGTCTTCCTTAATTTTGGTCAGAATGAACAAAAGTGTCTGTGTTTATTCCTGCCTAATGCATCACAAATCTGCTGACATGCTAACCTTGGAGTCTTGGCTGGCGGTAATCAGTCCTGTGCACCGGCAGGAAAGATGTACCTAATGCACTCCATCAGTGCAGTTTGCATATGGAAGTTCTCACAGGGGAGCTGCCCTGTGCCAGCTGAGGGTTACCTGCCCACTGCAGTTATTGTATGTAATTATCGAACCAATCTGTTCAGCCCAGCAGGGTTTAGATGGTAATCATGAAGCAACACTTTGGAAAGGAAAGATGTAATGCACTCTCCCCTTCTTTCATGAGCTATGTGAAGTTGTAGCCACTTTTAAAGCTGTGTTAGTAAAGATCTAGTCTCACACAATTAAAAAAAACCACAAAGCAAACAAACCAAAACCAAACCCACTCCCCTCCCTCAAGGGAAAAAAAACCCCAAAACCCAGAAAATGTAAGCTCTTCCAGTTTTCCTGAAAGTTGGCTATGTCTGTTACAGATAGAGGTCAACTCATCCTTTGCAAAAATCATGTGGCTTTAAAAAAATAAATTTTTTCCATAACCATCTTACAAATACTTTGCAATATTAAGATTAATTGTAATACACAACTAATAACTGTTCTATCAGTTTAGAGGTTTTAAGATAATGTACCTTGAATAGAGTTCAGATTTTCCAAGTACCTCTCTTTGAAACAGAACTCGTAGCTGCTATTAGGTAAAAAAAAATAATGTATTGTCTGTGGGTGTTAGCTACTTTTAAGCTGTGCAAAGGAAGCCTTAAGTTAGGATCCAGGTAAACTTGAATTTAATGAGCTGTAATTGCTTTGTTAAAAAGAAATTAACATCAACTTTGGGTAAAATTTTTTTCTATTTTTTTTAAAGTGTTTTTTTTTTTTTCAGGTTGCTCCTTTTGTAAAACTTATTCAGGGTAAATAAAAAAAACCCGGCTTTTGGTCGTAAAAACTCGTGTTTTCATTTCAACTCCTAATGTCATCTGCAGATAGGGGAACTGAACTTTTAAATTGTCTGTTGCCTAGTGCTAGTATTCTTGCATTAGTATATGAATAAATTTTCTCTACAACTGGAGATGCTTTATAATATATTAAGAAATAATGCGTGAAATTGGGGAATTCCTTGTGAAGAGATTTTCTACATTTATACTTTTGTCTTTTCTGCTCCTGAGTTTAGTTACTTTTTTTTTTTTTTCCAGAAAAGAAGAAAGGCAGCAGCTGCAGCCAGTGAGAACACTGAAGCAGACATGGAAGGTATAGTATGAGAACTCATGGGTCAATACAAAGATGAGGACATTGTTTACCATTTACTTTTGTGGGCAAAACATTCAACTTGGGGGAGAAAAAAAAATATTGTCAATTAAAATAAATTTGGGTGGTGACAAAGAAAAACACGAAACCACCACCTTTTCTTCCCCTTCTCCCAAGCTCAACTTATTCACTCTAGACTCCTCTACCCCACTGCCTGCATTTTCCCCTCTGATTTTCCTCCCTCTTCACATTTTTTTCCCTTGCTCCAGCGTGGGCTCTCTCTTCTGGGCTGCAGTCCTTCAGGGGGAAAAAAATGTGGTTCAGTTCCTTCAGGAAATACCTCTCTGCTCCAGTGTGGGCTCACATGAGTTACAGGGGATATTTGCACCATCCTGAGTCTTTCATGAGCTACACAGAGTATCTGCTCTGGTGCTGTAGAGCACAACCTCCTCCTCTGGCCTTGGTGTTCCCTCTGCTGTTTTTCACTCTTCTCCCCACACTGCCACCCCCTGCCTGCCTGTCCAGTGGTTTTGTGTGTTATTAAATGTTTTCACAGTGCTGTCACAAACAAGTTGAACTCAAGTTTGGCCTACAGTGGGTTTGTTTTAGAGCCAGCTGGAAAGGGCTGTGTCAGGCCCAGGACAGCACCTGCGTTCTTCCCACAGAGGCCAACTCTGTAGTCTACCCTAGCTTGCCAAAACCCTGCCACATGGCCATATATACCCAATACAACCGTTTAGCAGTTTAAGTGATTTTGGTCTTTCATAATTTATTAGATTAATAAAATTGAAATACTTAAACTTTCTGTGTAATAAAGGTATGCTCTCCAGTTACATGCTGCCTAAAGCTGGTAGAAACGTTAGGTGATAAAAATTGGTGGTTACACCCTGCTCTTGCTGTCATTTGTTCTCTTCTCCATTCTCATTTTTGTCCTTCTGTCTTGTCCAACGCACTGTTGGAATATGATGACTCCTCAGGATTTTGTCATTACAGTGTGTTAAAGCCAGGGGCTAGCAGCAGAAGCTTCTAAAAGCAAGTATATTTAAAGTTGAGGAAAGGATCAGCTATAAGGATAGAAAATGCTGAAACAACATTTCAGATAATTTGGCATAGTTTCAGTGTTTTCTGGAAAAAGTCATGGACAGATGAAGTAGGGTTATTTTAAGTCCCCAAATCAAATCTTCAGTACATTTGTATGGGGTAAAGATTATGATGAGTGTCCAGTCAAACTCTTTTCTGGATCTAACCTAACTCCTTCATGTTAGATGTGAACTGAATTCAAGTAATTACAAAGATATTTTTCCTAAAGAATTTTTGGTTCAGACTTTTTAAGTAAAAGACCAGATGTTGTCTGTGGTCAAGTAGTCTAAAAATAGTAAAGTAGTAGCACTGAAGTTTACCCCAAAACAAATCCACGTGTTTAAAAAAGGTATGGAGTATGGCAGGATGAGAAAATGTAACATTTCAAAGACAGTGATGTTATTGGTAAGTTATAGATTTACCGTAGTATATTTATTCAAACAGTGTGGTACAATGTACAAGTAATTAAGGTAATATTATTCCAGAAGGTGACACTGCTCTGTTCATTTTCAGCTGTTCTCATAGAATTCTGATCATTAAAATCAGTGATTATTTCTCTTACTTGAATGCCTTTTGAATTGTTGACTTAAGCTTACTATGAATTTTCTAGTCTGTCAGTGGCTGAAAAAGTGTTAATTAGATTGTATTTGCTTTTGAGGAAGTACAGTTATTTGATATGATGCTGATGTTTATTCATAGTCTTAGCATTTTTAGATTTTATTTAAAACCTTATAACAAAATCTTTGATACAGGTCACTATTGTCTGGTTGTGGTTTGATACACGTGAGCAAAATATACTTCCATTTTATATCATATATTATACTACTTTTTTTTCCTGAGATTGTAGATTGAAATTCTTATAGATAGAAAAGAAGAATTGCAATCCAAATGATAACATCAGCTTTTTGTAAATGCTAAATCTTTTCAGATTAAGTAAAGGTATTTTTGAGGCTATATATATTTTCAGCATCTGGTGGTTAAAATGAGTGATGGACATAAGCTTAAATTTAAACCTCCTCATCAATTCACTAGAGTTATAGGTGAAATGGTTCTAACTTCACCTTTTTGTACTACCCAATTTAATGAATACCAAGTGGGGGGAGTATATCAAATTATTCCAGGTGCAGAGTGATACATCTACTTACTCATTTTGTTCTCTCCAAATTTGGAATTACAAACTTTGCTGCTTATTACATGATTCATAAATCTGTTGAAGGGCAACTGTTTCATAATCTTATGATTTTGATGCTTTTGATATATTGAAAATAGCTGATTATTACAGAAATACTTAAAATTGTGTCTAGTTTTATGCTACCACGGACTTGTTCCTCTGTTATGGGATTAGTCCCTTGACTAAAAAATCCTGACGTTTACCATCCAGTAAAATGGATAAATTCCTTATACCTCTTAATTGTAGAAATTGAAATTTAGTCATACAGGAACGTATTAAAAGTTCTTGAAAAGCTACTTCGTTGGTTTCTAAAAGGAGAAAAATATGGCTGGACGGGAGTTACTCTTCTGGTGTTCAAACAGCATTCATGAATATTTGGGCTTAAAAACCAGTGGCATGAAGAGCCATGCAGCCTCTTACTGTTCAGTTAATCAGCATTAACTTGCATCTGACTATGCAGTTTGACTAATCCACTCCAAAAGATTAGTCGGCTCAAAAAGATCCTGATCAGCTGTGCAGCAGTTTTGAGTACACCAGGGTGCTCAGTGGCTACAAGGGACTCTGCCAGTAATGAAATCTGCTACTGCTGAGGCTGGGAACCCCCAGGCTTTGTGGTGGAGGAAGAAAGAATGGCACTGAGAAAGGTTGGGCATCTTGAAATTTGTGTTTTTTCCATCTGCTCCCCCTGGTTTTTCTCAGTGTAAGACCAGCCACTTCAGATGAGTTCGTTAAAGGCCATCTCCTTCAATCATGTCAGCCATCAGTGTTTCTGGACCTGTCAAGCAAGAGTGTTAGACTTTTCTTTTTAGAAGCAGAATTTCAAAAAGCCCTCAAGAAACACGCCTTTTCTTGTGTTGTACTTCCCAAATAAAATGCAGAAAATTTTGTGGAATTTGTAAGTTGTTTTTTACTTAAATTAGAACGTTATGTTTTCTCTTTTTATCCTGTGATAACTGGAACCCATATGTTTTCCCGAAAGCTGGAATTCTAAGAGGTACCCTTTTTAAGGTAATATGAATGATGCTGAAGTATTACATTAGTCAATATCTCTCCACCAAGAAAAACGCTATCAGAAGAGATGATTTCTAATTAAACAATTTTTTTTTTTTCACACTCTTACAGCTTCATTTTCAGTATTGACTGCCTTCATGTATGGTAGTAAAATATGCAGGCTTATAAGTGCTGATACTGTTAAAACAGAATACCAAATTTTGGCATACACTGTACGTATCCACCAACGCTTCTGCAGGGGTGTACTGCATAATATTAATAGGGCTAATATGCTTATTTTTAATCAGTTTGTATGGAATAGGCAGCTAGTACAGGGAACTTCAGTGAAAATGACATAAATACTGGAAAAACAGAGTTTAATGAGAATTTGTAAATAACTGTAGATTCAAAGCTACCAATAGAGATTAAAACCTCTATTATTGGTAGTTATTTTAATCTTGGGGTTGGTGAAGATTGGGTTATAGAAATACAGAATTTTTTTTAGAACAGAATTTTAAAACTTTTTTTTACTCCAGCTTTATTTTTGGTTGTGAGGGTGTTTTAAAACGTTTTTTGGGTATAGAGAGAAATACTAAAGTACTGTATTTTTAAAACGTACTTCTTTAATATTACTGCTAGGGGTAGGAATTGTGCAGGTCTGTGTTGCTGGGTAGCATGATAAGGCCTTAACGAGGGTCTTTGGTTATTCTTGCAATGTAAGTAAAGAACTATGTGAACAGCTCTGATATGAAAACAGTCATACTGATGGATTGGTTGAAAGGCATTCCAAAATGGAGGCTGAATAGTATTTCTCAATTAATAGGTACTTAGCTTTATGTTGCTTTACATTGCATGGCTTTGCATAAATCAGTATCTGGGTTATTGTCTTAGAAATCTTTTTTTTCTTTATTCAAGCGAGATTTTTTTTTTACCTAATGTTGGATTAAATCTACACTTAGGCTCATTTTTATATTTAGAGAATTATTGGCCTTGTCATCAGGCTTTAGGAGAAAGCAGGTTTCTTTGAGCTTGTTTATGGGACCACTTGTGACTTGTCTTTCTCCTTCACACCAATGCCCACATTATAGGTAGACTTTTGCCTCTTAAATTTGTACCTCAGTAGAAACATTTTCAGCAAACCCTGTACTGTACAATAGTTCTAACTGTCTGTTATTCATTCTTCCTTCTTGTGAAGGATTTGGTATTGAGTAGTATCTATAACAGACTCCAGGAGCCAAGTTAGTCTTAAAACAGTGTATCTGTCCCTGTGACTTGTCCCCAAAGGATCTATTCCTTTCTGTGCCATTCTTGGCCTTACCTTGCCTGTCTCAGAAATGTTGAAACTCAACTGTTCTCTAATATGAGAGTTCTGTGATCTGCTTTTAGAAGTTAAAAGCAAGTGCAGCTGTATTGTATCTAGAAATAAACAAGAAGATTCAGGTTTTAGAGCAGATAAATAATGCTCTTGGTTGTCAGAAATACTTATCAAACTCAGTTCTGCATTTTCCATTAAATGAATTCAAATATGATATGAAGTGATCTGTCTTTTTATGGCCTGCCCCAAGATTGTTTGAGGGTCTTCAAAAGCTATTCAAATTAGAAGAGGTGTGGTAAGAGGCAATTTTTAAAAAAGAATGAAGTTCCTTAAATATTATGGGCTTGAACATTAAAATAAATGAGATCTAAAATATATTTTTGTAGTTCTTCCTGAATAATGGTTTTCCTTGATAACTTGCAAGTGACAGATTCACTGAGAAGCACC